GCAACATGACATAACGACTACTATACGCAAATACCTATATAGCTATATAAACAAGCTAAAAACCGTTGTCGGGCCTGTAAAATTTGAGTTTGTTTTCCTCGATTTCTCTAGGATCCAATCATCAAAAAAATGATTTGGTGGTAATGGACCACCTCGGGAGTATACCCTTTCGATTACTAAAGGAATTTTAAAATAAAAAAAACTTTTCCAATTCGGTTTACAAATAAAAGAGTTTTGACTTAATAATCAACTTACTTCTTCTACTCATCAATATGTAGGTACGATCTATGCATTTACCACGCAAGAAGGTAGGTCTATGTATTTACCACCCACTTCAAATCTAACTCAACACGGTATGTGTTGGTTACAATTAAGGAATAAAAAACAATATCCAAAATATTTTTTAAAGTTCTCCTAAGTAAATGAAATGAAAAATATTTTATTAACGTTTAAGTAGTAAACCACCTTTCTAAGGTGAGGCCTATGTCCAGCAGTGGACTGTTATAGGCTGTTGATGTGAAGTAGTCTAACTTAAAAGTTAATAAAATTATTACGATAATATAATATAGTTACAATTATTGTCATTTTTGAAGACGGTAATACGAGAATACTTTAAGAAATAAATTTTTTCGAGTAGAAACTATCCCTGCTAATTTTTACAAAAAAAAAATTTGCAAGGAAAATGCAAAGCTGCACCGAACTTATCAAATCAACGCAGTGGATGAGTCTCGTGTTGTAGCGACATATGGTAGAACACCACCAGAGAACGCAATTCCCAAAGACGTCAATAGCTGTGGTGGTTTTCTGCCATCGATAAAAATTGGCGTCGAATCCTAAATGATGTTGAGACGCAACATTGCAGTATCAGAAGGAGTAGTGAATGGAGCTATGGGTATAATAAAAAAAATCTGATGGCCGGCCTTAAGAAGAGATCAACTAGAGGATGGAGAGCTACCAGAAGCCGTGTTCATTAAATTTTGATGACGAATCTATTGAGCTTAGGCTAAAAGATAGTAATGGTTGCATACCCATACCTAATTCTAGTACTATGTTTCAGGCATTAAGAAGTTACGGAGATATGGAGCTCCGTACGCTGCCTCTAATATTAAGCTGGGCAGTTACAGTCCATAAATATACAGGGTAATACCTTCGAAAGAGCTAATTGACCTTTGTAAAAAAAAACTTTGCAAAAGGGTAAATATATGTTGCACTAAGTTGTGTCAAAAGTTAGGAAGGCATAGTTTTATCAGATTTAGACTGCACGGATGGCGTAGTGGTTTAAGCGGTCGCCACGCCGCTTCCTACTACGTCGAGTGTTGTGGGTTCAAACCCCACATGGAACGACACTTTGTGTGATCCACAAATTGTTGTTCTGAGTCTGGGTGTTCTTTGTGTCCGTTTCATGTATGTTTGTAAAGTCCCCCGCGACACAGGATTTATTCCTAATACGGGCGTTGTCTATTTAAAAAAAGAAAAAGAAGAAAGAAGACGCCAACAAATTATTAAATAGACCACACGACGATAGATCGTTGACGGAAGTAACGAGATTACGAAATCTGTCTTCCGATAATGAAGGTCACACATAATACACCTTAAGTAATGCAATTAGAGCGCTTGCGTCATGTTGCAATGCAGCAACGAACGTAAGCGCATTGCAATTTGATTACAGATCGCGCCCTTAAAGTAAGCCGTTTAGGAGTTCCATTTATGATTATATTCGACGACATCGATCTAACGACGTTACGGTAGGTGACTTAAATATCCGGATAGTCTATAAAATATTCAGCCGAGTATCGTTAATTTGCTCCTAAGAATTGAAGAGTTCAGTTACTTTGTCTTAGATCCCATTATCAGACCCTAACCAAACTCTCATCAAACTACCCTTGAAGTACTTTCTGTCGAATAAAAAAAGAATCATCGAAATGGGTTGGGGTTATATTGAGTTATTCGTCCATACTTAATGCAAATTTGAGACTTATATGATTTACTCAGGGATGCTAATGTCAGAACTGGACCAAATTGAATGGGACGAATGGGAAGCACCAGCTTTCGAATAAAAAAAAAATCAAACTCGGTTCACCCAGTTGAAAGTTCTCAGGTAACAAACATTTAAAAAAAAATACAGTCGAATTGAGAACCTCCTCCTTTTTTTAGGTCGATTAAAAAGGCGCCATGTTATTTTCATTGGGTTACCCCGTCGGCAATTTCGTAGTTGTGTAAACTATTCACATTTGTGGGAAGTATTCACTATTAGATTGTTATGTAGTAAAGGTTCGAGATAAATTATACCTACAGCCAGAGAGCCTGGTGCAAGTTCATTTCATATCGACGACGATAGACTAACCCACCACCCACTGACTAACTTACTTTTCCGCCACTTGACAACAGATGGCAGCAGGAATCCGTTGTTTTTCTGTCGGGAATTTCTGTTTTCGCTAATATCAACCCCCTAGGAATGTACTTAGAAACCTAGATACTGTAGTCTCCGTCTCCCGTTTCAAAAATTTCCTCAGTGGCAAAACATCATTATTGTTTTAATCTTTGTTACCCGTGCATTCCTTCCCCCTATCAGTTGACTTTCACTCAGTAGATAATGTTGTGCTCTTGCAAAATATTAGAACGTGATTGAATTGAGCCCTTATAAATTATTTGTTTTCCATATTTTTATCAATCATGATGTCATAGAGTTTTCAATAAAGTATTTTCCTATATTCTTATTCTTAGTAAGTTAAACTCTGTCGGCAGTGCCAGTTACAAACGTAAGATCCTTGTAAATATCATTCCTAAAACAAGATTTACTTAAATGGCCATCCTATAAAATTATTATTTACACTTCGATTACCTAGAACCGTCTTTATTTCATATTTTTAAAAGGTTAACTACGATGAATTTGCGAATTTTCCTAATTTAAGAAGGTTTACAAAACCTGATACCATACCTACAATAATCAAATTATTTAATATCAATAATAATTATTATTATTAATTGTACAATAATAAAATAGAAATATAATTGCAAAAAATATTCTCAAAAGACAATATTACAATGTAGGAGTAAAAAAAGAAATCCATCCCTATAAACGAGGGTGGTAACCACAGACTAAATAGGGTGGAGTAAGCCGGCTAACATCGATTTTGCTTACACCCAAATCCAGGATACAGATAGAACGTGTTATGTGACATCAATACATCATTTCGTGGACGAAAATGAGTGATACAACGTCTGTTGAAGAGGAACCAGGGGTGCGTCTAATTATCACAGTGCTTTACTAATTGGTTTTTGAACAATGTTTGGATATAATGGATACCTAAAGATGGCTGGCAGGAGCTGGATGCGAGAAGCCCAAAATCGAACTAAGTGGCGTGCAATGGAAGAGGCCTATGTCCAGCAGTGGATTGCGATAGGCTGATTATGATGATGATGATGATGATGATGGATACCTAAAGTTGTAATATTCATTACAATTTACAACCGAAATGCGACTCCAGGTTTGAATAAAGCAGCTTTACGCATAAGAAAATTGCTTAGTTGTACTTATTTGGCACTATAATATTCATGCAAAAATATATATGTATCATTTAATATTTTAACTTGTAAGCGCCTATAAAAAAATAAAAGCAAATTTTAACACAAACCACTGCTTTTCATTTAATACTACGCTATGCTTCATTTACATCTTTTATTTCATGGACATATAAAATTATCAGGAACTTATGTCTTAAAAGTCTCATCTTTTGCTTTTTCTCTTTATAGGCAGGTACGTTATACGGAAAAAACTTTTTACATCCGTTAGACAAATAACTTTTAGGTACGTGCAAACTTTCACTCGTTTAATCTGCGCTTAGAGCTTTGCTACTTTATCACAACCGGACCAAGTTAATAACTTACAATCTTTTTAGTCCAATAGTTTTAGCATAACCTGTTTATTGCATCATGATCAATTTTAATAAATTTTCAAACTTCAGAACGCAACATTTAACAGTCTTGCCATTGCAGATAAAATGATTGCTTAAAAGCATAACGGGAAAAATCAAGTAGCAAATATCAACATAATTAGATTCCCCGTTACCAGGCATTAAGTACTTACAAATTACCATATTTACAGTACCAAACAAATAATTTTTGGAAATACGCAACATACTGGCACAGACATTCGATGACCTAGTGAGTTATTGCTCAAATAAGATCACAGTGCTGTATCTCTGCTGAATTCTTAAAGTTAATTTTATAACTTTTATTAAAGTTTTTTTTACTTTTATCACACGCTGAAAATAGAGATTCCCAATAAATTCTTAATAAAAAATCTGTTTAAAATAAGTCAAAGATTAACGACCGTTGCAACAATTTCATTGAAAATTCGAAAACAAAGTACATTACATAAATACATCATCAAAAATGCACAAGTGCAATGATGCACAACTGCAATAGTGAACAACATCTTTTGAGGAGTAAGTGGCTTGCTTGTGGCAACACCTAAAACCAGTCACGTCACTTCGTGGCGTTAGTGTGGGTGCGTTGTGCGTGCGTGCGTCCATGAATATTTGAGTGATTTTTCATGTTTGTGTGTATTTCTGACGCCGTTTGTGACTTTTCTGTCATCCCTCTAATTTTGGATTTTATCACTAAAACTCTTCAAACTGTCGTGTTTGGGTATGTACATTCCCTTTATTTACAGCCGCTTGTTCATAGGTTACACAAAACATTGTATTATTGTTGTACGTGTAACCTGTTTGGCAGGCGTTGTCTCTGAGGGCAGGAGCCATAATTTAAAAAACCAGGTAAAATGGTATAAAGTTCATAATTTGAGGTATTTGGGCGTATCGATCGTGTTATCTTGAAGCCGGTTATCTTGCGATTCGAAGTGAAACTTGTGTTATTATCTCGGTGCGGGGGCTAGGCGATCGCATATCGCGGGCCTGAGCTAACAAGGTATAAAACTCAGTCGGCTTTTCGATGCCGGTCGGTGTACAAGTGTTCGTGCCCACTAGCATGAAATTATAATGGTGGGAGAGTGTTTTGTCTATCTTGTTTGTTTTTGTGGTGTCTGTGAAGTGCGCTAAGTGATTGTTTTGTTGCAGGCCGGCAGAATGCTAAAGTTTATACGAGGCAAGGGGCAGCAGCCCTCTGCTGAAAGGCAGAAACTTCAAAATGAACTGTTTGCTTTCCGCAAGGTATGTACTTAGTACTTAATCATTTAAACATGCACCTATAATACAAAATCTTTAAAAGTTTAGTCTAAACTTCTCTAAAGTATCTGTAACTATGTATGAATAAAAGCTGTGCTATAGATAATTAGTCATCATCATTATATGGTACATTACGTCTCATCAGACAGTAAAACAGTCATAAAGCTTATCAAAAACAAGAATGTGTTTCCTTACACGCAATGACAAAAAAATGAACCATTATCTGGATGACAATTTTTTATCAACAGAAAATTCTTCAAGATATGTGTTGTTTAAATTTCAAATGGCCCTTTAGGTTTTTGTATTTCTACATTTACTCTAATATCAATTAGCTGTGCTATATTACCAGCATTTTTGTTTTATTATAACTTACCTTTACAATTAGACTTGTAACTGTTTTTTCGGATAGAGTATTTATCATTAGAAAACTAAAGATTAGAGCACTATACATGTAGTATAGCTGATACTTTATGTTCCTAAAAAAACATAATAACACATTGTAAATCAATCACTGAAATAGTTGTAAATGTCAGTTTTATTTAAAATAAATTAATTTCACATGATATCAGGCACTTAAAGTAAATACCGTAATAACTGTATGAGTAGGTATTTCAGCAAAACAGATAAAATTGAAATATTTTATGGGTTTTGTTTATTAAGTTTTAGATTCTGACTATCTTATTTATTGATATGAGTGTTAAACGGAGTATGTATATAATACATATTTTTAAATTTATTTATCTTATGTTATCTACACCATTTCATTCAAATTGACTTAGGAAATACTAGTTTTGACTAAGAAAATCTCAGGAAAACTTGAAACGCAGCATTTAGTTTTTCTTTTTTTAATTTAAATTTTAAACAGTTTCACAGATATAACGTTCAGATCACTTAATATAAGTATTTAGTATAGTATAATTTTCCTTTATTTTATTTGCATTAAGTAGCAAGCGATGACAAAAACGTGTTCACTTGTATGACATAATGATATTCTGTGGGAAACTACTACAATGAGTAATAATGACACACTTTTTCATATTATACAAACATGCAGTCTATTAATGGCCAATGTGGTACCATTTCTTCTATTTATCCACACCTGCAAACATTCCATTTCACATTCTATCGCATGCTGAATGGTCCTGTCTCAGTACTTTGAGTTCTAGTGCTTTATTTTAAGTTATCTATTTGTTTGTGCTGCTTTGCGAGGCTCTTATGAATAGATTTTCTTATCTTTCTATCAAATAACTGTTAGGTCGACCATAATTTGTATTTTTTTTCATACCACTACTAAAAATCGAGATTCCCAATAAATTCTAGTTAGTATGCAATTACATTTCTAAGGAGAGGCCTATATCCATCAGTGGACTGTTAAAGGCTGTGGATGATGATGATGCAATCACAATGTTTTAAAAGTTTTCATGATCAAGTCAGTAGTCATTCTCAGCTATGATTTCAATTCTCATGAGGGCTGTAGGGTTGATTTTACATTTAAATTTCTAATCAGTATAATATTTTTACCTTATATTTTATGATGTGTGTTATCCAATAGGCTAATAATTTTATCAAGGTATTTTATTAGCAGGATATATCAATGGGAACTTAACATAAAAGTGTAACAAATATTCCTTTCCTTTCTATCATTTCGAAAGCTTCCTCTTACTATCCAATTCGAACAAATGTACCTGTATGTGTGTGTGTGGTTTACCTCCATATCAATTACTCATACCAGTCGACGACCTTCCCAAGTACACACCCTAGCAGCTAATCTATTGTGTCTGATTCATTAACGTAACATGGCACATTTCATAAATATGTTTTGCTCCCTCTTGTATCTTATTGAACTTAAGAATATTTATTTCAAGAAGGTATCACAAGGTTTGCCTTAGTAAGTTGCCTGCTAGAGCTATCAGCCTTTACGAAGTCCGCATCTTTCGATCTTCTTAAATTTTCCTCATAGGCATTGTTATTGAAATATTAATAATCATCGTAGTTTTTAAGATAACGGACACCAAAATAGAAAATGAAATTATAAAAACACGATAATAATTACGCTGTTGCCAAATGCCAGATTATATTACAATTGATCTCGTATGTAGAAACAACAACCTCCAACGGTACTTTTTTTACTTGTGGAAACCCTCTCGGACCGTCAACCCACTGGGGTTTACGATAGGGTTGTGTGTGAGAATCGAATCAACTAAAAGACCTGTGTCACTTTCTTATGTTAGAATAGTATCAAGTCTGGGGGTGCCTTTGTTGTCTATGCTAAAACACTTAATACTTTTTTCACAATCATCATTCCAGACATTGTTTTTTTTTAAATAAACTTAATACGTCCTTAAAGGAATTATTGGTTTTCTTTTGTATATTAATTTATAACTGATTAAAGATAAACAAAACTATTAATTCAGGAAATACTTTACTGTGTATCTTGTAGTATTTTTTTTCTAATACATTAACTTATGCGTGACTAAGATCACGATAGGATATTATTATTATTTTGTTTGTACTAATACAAACAAAATAATAATAATATCCTATCGCGTACCTATCTTAAGATACATAGACACCTACCTTCGCAATTCGATTTAAGTGTATGCAGACGGTTAACTCGATTACAAAACTGTTTGCATTTGTTATCGTTCCCTTATTATTTGTTTTCAGATTATACTTTATAACTTTTATGATAGATACCAACATTTTGGGTGGACGAAATAGGCCATGGTTATATTGCGACAAAGTTTTATCATGATACATTGGATTATAGTGTGCAGAATAAATTTACACACCTTTCAAATAATATTTGTTTACCTTACGATAATTTTGATATACCTGAATTATCTTCATAACTTCTACATAGTATTACAAATAATACACTTCTTATTACAAAAAGTGGATTGGGAAAAGTGCCATATTAAATGTTAAAAATTCCTTGCATAGTCCGTTAAACACTACCGGAATTAACGCAATAACACAATAGATATTATACATAGGTATGCTTGATGCCTGTATATTCGACTATTTGACACAGGCCGTTTTCACAGCTACCTACTTACCATTTACATATTGCCTCGATGGTGCAGTGGTAGCATATGCGACTGCTGTGCTGAGGTCTCGGAAAAAATATTTACGAAAACTTACTACGTTTTGACTATCCTTTTTTTTGTTTGGCAACATTTTCTGATAAGCCAGTACATGTCGTAACTATATACAGAACGTGTTTTACCGGTGTAAAACTGACTGTTAGCCAATCATGAATTAATGTAACGGCAATTGGGATATTCTTATCTACTGTTACAGTCACATTCAAATATTTTGTGGTCAAATTTACCAGCATGTATATAAAACAAGTGAAGGATATTACAAAGAAACTCCTTTTCTAAGCCTCGTCTAAGTCAGCTTCAATAGATCCGTCTTCCGCGAGCAATGGTTCTAGATATAGGTATAAAGTTTTATTCGAGGTAGAGACAATCTAATCTAATTCTAGGTCTGGCCTGAAGATAATATTGGAGTTAAGTTTACAAAACATGTATTCGTTTTGGATGAGTAACATATTTCGTTCTGGTAACTTTCCATTGCTCTGAGTTTTCTTGGATCTCCCTAACGATATCAGAAATAAAACCTACTGAATTTTTGGTATTCAGTAATTCATGACGGTATTAACTAAGTAGTACTAAAATGGTGAATATGTATAATAGTATTTTGGGCGTACGGCTGTCAGACCGAATAAGAAATACAGTAGGTACTACACTCCAAAACACAAATAGCAGATGTCACTCAAAGCTGCCGCACTCAAGTGGGACTGGGCCGGACACGTTTGCCGCATGCCGATTGATCTATCGGCAAAAATTAGCACAACTTGGGTCCCACAAGGTGCTAAACGACAACAGAGTACTGTACGACTGAATGCCATTGTACCTTAAACCAATCAGAAAATTCCATGAATACTTGTAAGAGTTTTGATTCTTATTAACTACTATCTTCTGATCGATAGGGAAATCGATCTACAACTTAAAGTTACGTAAGGTTCATGTCAGAAACATGTCAAATCTTACCTTTGTAAAAAATAAATTATAATCAGAATATTTATTATTGAGAGCAGTGATAACATCAGTGATAGTACCGCCTACAACGCATCCAATCATAGAGCATTATTGTACTCAATGAAACAATCCCGATAGGTCATAAGACATTATTAATGAAGCCTGCCGTTCACATAGCAAAATGCGCCTTTATTGGATTCTATTGTCGCTCCCAATTGTACCGACAATGACTATAGATTAAAATCAAGGCCTTAATATTGTTTGAAATAACATTCACAACTACGCCAATCGATAACATCTATAAAGTAAACAGGTTTTATGAAGTTATTGAACTTATAAACTGTATTAAGAGATGATTCCGTTAAGAAAATGTGATTTGTTTGACAAACTGTTTCTCGGTGGCTTTTTTTTTATTTATGTTAAATATTTTAGACGATTTTAAAAAGATTTTGATTTTATAGTTACCAGTAGAATTTTAATGTAATCTGTTTAATACTTAGTCTGGCCACGCGCCTAAAAAATGGTAATAGGTTTGTTCCTAGTTACATATGGCAGTCAATCCTAATTAAAGACAAGTGAGGGCAGTTCGCAAAGTATACGGCCTATGCCTTCTCAAGTACAAAAGAAGTACGAACCCATTTTATATAACACGTACATTTTTTAATATCGTGTAACTACACCTAGACTCCTGCTTTTAAAAAGATTTTTAAGAAGTTTAAAACGCAACCAAACTTTTAAAAACTCCTACTCCTTTTCCCCTTAAATCTACATCATTCAACATTTATATCAATATCATATTCATATCAATAAAGAGTACTGACCTCATATAAGATGAAATAATTGTACACAAATATTTCCTTCATAAAAGTTACTTACTATATATCTGTTTATATATCATTGTCGATGTTTTGGGACGACTACGCACGCATTAAATGCGAC